TGCTTAGCTATGAGGAAAATCTTGGAGTAAACAGTTATCATCACAAGTGCAGGGATGAAAAATAATAGAAAATCAATCAAGACCCAGTTTTGATTCACTGCAACCTGACAGCCTCCCACACAGGTGAGAGCACTCACTAGTTCCTCCAGCCCAGCTTCATTTGCTCCTGTGTAAAGAAGGGAAAAGCTGAAGATAACAGCAAGCAGCCAGGAGAAAGCAACACATTTGCCAGACAAGGAAACCGTGAACTTACTTGGATAGACCAGAGGGTCAGTGACAGCGATGTATCTATCAATGGAGATAAAGCACAGGTGGAAGATAGAGCAGTAACAGAAGGAGCCTTCGAAAGAAGAGTGGAATTTACAATAAGCATCCCCAAAGTACCAGCAGCTCTCCACAGACCTGACCATGCTGAAGGGCATCACAGTCGTCCCCACCAAGAAGTCAGCACAGGCCAGAGAGGTGACCAGAAAATTGGCTGGGGAGTGGAGCTGCTTGAAGTGCAGGATTGAAGTCATCACCAGCAGGTTTCCAAAGACAGCCAGCACAGCCCCAGAGCCAAACACCAGGTACAGAACCAGGCGGGGTCCTGGGGAGTATGGAGCTTTGACACAGGATCCGTTCCAGTTCTCATAGCACAGCTGGACAGCTGCAGGAGGGGCCGGGTCACCGCTCATGTTTCTCTCTGTACCTGGTAATGGAGTCATCTTCAACAGTCAAGTGTGTAATTCCTGTCTTCAAAAATCCTCAGAAAATATAAAATACTCCTTAATTGCGATCAAGCTAATAACTTTTTCTCTTTTCTTTATACCTTCATCCAATACTTAGAAACCAATTAATGTCCACATCTGATAAAAGTATTTTCTTCCTACTACACAGGTAGTCAACTTTCATTATTGCATAAAATGCTGTTTATTTTTATTTTAAAATTTTTCTTTCTTACCTACTGTTTCATATGTGAGCAGTGTTTGGTTTCAAAAGGAATAATCTGTTTTCTGATGCATGTCGGGTTGCCACCTTTTATTAGGGTTCTTATCCCAATTAAACCAAGCTAGGCTAATGTTCTGAACAGTCTTTTTCCTCAGGAAAGTAGCTTAATGAATCCAAATATCTAATGCTGCTAAGATTGAATCCCATAATGCGAGGTGAGGCAAGTGAGACACTTTAAATAACTACTGTGCTTATGGTAACGCCAAATATGTGCCCTTCTAATTTGCTGATGGCATTTGATGCTTTCAAACAATTGAGATGAAAGTAATATGTGTCTTAACAAACCTTTGTTCAGAATTTGAAAGTGCATTGTTTGCTTGGATTATTATATATCATCTTTTTCATGTTTGTAAGAAATATTTATTAACGAATCTCTTGCTGTTCTTAAAACTCCTTCAGATAAGCTCTTGTTCCCTTTTATCATTTGTTTGTGTTTTTTAAAAATTTATCTGCTTGGTATCCTTTGTGATATACAGTAGATGCATTCATCGTGGAAGTTGTTTCACACATATATCACATCTTGATCCTTTTCTCCTCCTTTTCCCTCTCTCCCTCCTGTCTTCCCCTTTGCCTGATCCCTTTCCCATTGTGTCAAAGAACAAACTTTTGATTCACTGATCCTTTGTATTTCAATTTCAATAATTTTCACTTCAATCTTTCTGATTCTTCCCTTGTATTAGTTTCAGATTTGTGCTTTTCTTGTCTTTCTAGGATCTTGAGATGCATCATGATGTTATTTATTTGGGATTGCTCATGTTCACTTTTACATCTATAACCTTCCCTCTGAGAAGTTCTTTTATTATGTCTCATAGGTGTTGATATATCATTTTTCTATTGTCATTTGATTCTAGGAACTTTTTAAAATTTCTTCCTTGGTTTCTCCTGTGATCCACTGATTTTTCAATAATGTATTATTTAATACTTTGCATATTTTCTGTGGCTTCTTTTGCTTTATATTTCTAGCTTCATTCCACTATGATCCAGTCAATGCATGTGATTATTTCAATTCTTTTGTATTTATTTAATCATGCTTTATGGTGGAAGATCTATTTGGAAAAAGATTCCATGTGCTGTTGATAAAAATCTGTATTCTGTTGTTGGATAAAACATTCTGTAGATATCTGTTAAGTCTTTGTTCAGTGGTGTGGCTTGACTCTAGCATTTTTTTGTTGATTTTTTCTTCTGGTTGACCTAATTGAGAGAGGGGAGTATTAGTATCCATCTGTCCTGTGAAGTCCAGGATCTTTTGTTTTCTGAAATTGGGTGCACTGACATTCAGTGAATAGATATTTATAATTGTTATCTCTTCCTATTTAATTATTTCCTTTATCAGTTATAGAGTGACAATACTTGACTTTTCTGATCAGTTTTAGCTTGAAATCATCTGTGTCTGAAAATAAGATAGACACTCCTGCTTGTTTGGGGGTCTGGTTGATTAGAGAATCATTTTCCATGCTTTCATTTTTCAGTCTATGTAGTTCTTTTTGAGATATTCTCTGGTAGGCAATGTGTGTTTCATTTTGTTTATGATCCAGTCTGCCAGTCTATTTCTTTTAATTGCTGAGTTGAGACCACTGACATTGAGAATTATTACTGTAAGGTATTGGTTGAATTCTGCTATTGCAACATTTTTCCAGTGCTGATTCTTTCTCCTTTTTTCCTTTTGTTTAACTACTCTCCTGGGTACATGTCTACTTTCTTTTGGGCTCTTTGGTTTGGTGGCCTCCCCGACTCTGTGTAGCATTCCATTAAGTATTTTCTGTAATGCAGCATTAGTGGTCATGTATTTCTTTCTAACTTATTTTTTGTCATAAAACATCTTTATTTCTCCATTATTTTGAATGCACATTTTACAAAATAAAGGAATCAGGGATGAAAATTATTTTCTTTTTCATCTTGAAAGTGTTTTCTCCAGGTTCTTTAGATTTGTGCTGGTCTTTAAAGATTGTGCTGAGACACCCACAGTTATCCTGATGGCTTTGCCTTTATAGGTTACTTGCTATTTTTCCTCTAACAGCTTTTAGTACTCTCTCTCTCTCTCCTTTTGATAAAATTTTTTATTATGATGTGTCATGGAGTGGTTCTTTTCTGTTCATGACTATATGTGCTTGTACTTGAATAGTGCATCCTTTCCCTGGATTTGGAAACTTTTCAATGATTTCAGTAAATAATTTTTATGCCTTTTGAGTCATCTTCTAATTTTTCTATTATTTCATTGATTCTGTGGGTAGTTAGTCTTTTCTTGAGTTATCTGGTAGCTGTTGCATCCAATTTGTATGTTGTCTCTTTTTTTAGGACATCATTAAGTTTGTGTTCTATTACGTTCATTTTGTCTTCCATTTCTGTTACCTTGTTATCACATTAGTCGAGTGTGCTACCCTTGACTTTTAATAAATTATATAGAAATCCAAATTATAATAAAGAGCAAAATAAAAGCTAGATGGTAGGAAGTGGGGAGATAGATCTTTCTCAAATAAAGGAGATCAAGAAATGAAGGGAGGGGAAAAGAGGAAAGGGAAAGAGGATGAAAAAGGGAATCAAATTATGTAACATCCATGTACCAACTCCACACAAGGAATGTAAACATTATGTACTGCAAACATGGACCAATGAAAAAAATATTCAAACATTTTTATGTCTTTCTCTGCTTTATTTCTTTAATACTTTGTAATCTTTTAGAAATGGTCTTTATTAATTAAGTCCTCTTTCAGCTTGTTAAATATTTTATGCATTTGCTTATATGTTCCTTCTTTATCTCTTCAAAAGTTTTGGCCATTTGATTTTTGAATTCTTTGCCTATAGCTTCTTTTAATTTTGTGTCCATGAGATCAGCTTCGGAGGAGTTAGAGGGTTAGAGGTGTTTCTTGTGGCTTTGCTTTCTCATGTATATACTGGATCTATTCAAAATAAGATTTTTTCAGTGTTTATTTTTTATTAGTACACGTTTGGATTACATCATGTTTATACTCCCTGTGAGAAGTTGGTACTTGTATAGAGCACATCTCAATCCTTTTTTCATTCTCTTTCCCTCCATTCCATCCCCACTCCTTTACTTCCTTACTCCCTTCCCATTTGAAAAACATCTATCTCCCTACTTCCTATTATCTATCTTTGATTTTGCTCTTTATTTGTATTTTGTGTTTCTCATATAAGAGAAAGTGATATTTGCACAGTGTGTCTGATTTATTTCACTTAATATTAGAGTCTCAAGTTGCATCCATTTTCCTATGAGTCAAGTTATCTTTTTTATGGCAGAATAGAGTAGAAATACCACAATTTCTTTATTCATTCATCTGCTAATGGACATGCAGGTAGCTTCCAAGATTTAGTTATTATGAACTGGGCTACTGTAAACATAGTTATGCATGTATCTCTGTAATATGATTTTTTAAACTTTTGGTAAGATACCTAGAGGAGAATAGTCGCATCAAATACAATGGTAGTGTTAGTTTTTTGAAGAATCTCCATGGTGACTTTCATAGATGTTATACTAGTTTACATTTCCCACCAAGGATTTCTTTCTCCCCACAACCTCATCAGAATTTATTATTTGACTTCTTGATGATAGCCATTGTCTCTGAAGTATATGGAACCTCAGTGTTATTTTAATTAGAATGTTTCAAAAGGCCAGAAATATGGAACATTTTTTCATATATTTATTGGCCATTTTTCTTCTGATAAGTGTTTGTTCAGCAACCACACCTCCATTGGTCCCAATTTTATAAATGATTCTTGTAAAACCAAAATTTATGTTTGAAATTTTTCTGCTATACTTTTTGACTAATTCTCACTACGAATCTGGCTAAAATAGATAGCAGGAATCATGCCAGCCCTCAATGTTGGGCTGCCTTGAAACTTCCACCACCAGATCAATTAGTCCACTACTCTTCAATGGAGTTTCCTGCAAAGTCTCACCACAGGTAAAGAAATTTTTGCTATATTGTAAGACGCATGAATTCTGGTCCTTTTCCCAATCAACTCCATATTCCTGACAGAAATTTCTTGAACCTGGCCTTTACTGCCTGCATTCCTATCAGCATTCTGGTCTTCTTAGCTCTGACCAGAATCGCCCTTCATTTTCTGCCAACAATATTCTAGGGCTTCACTATCCCAAATCTACAAGGCTTCCTGGTACAAATTGTCTGTATTAGTTTCTTTCCCATCACTATGACACCAAAAATGACACCCACAACTTGAAAAAAGGGAGGGTTTGATTTGGCTCAGAGTTTCAGGGTATTTGGTCCAGGGTTTCCTGGATCCAGAGTATCAGCATTACTGGAGAAGACTATAGCAGAACAAAACTGCTTAGTTCATGTGGACCAGGAAACAGGTCAGGGGAACAGCACCAGAGAGAAAGAGGCAAGTGACCAGATATGGACCCCAAGGTCATGTCTCCATGACCAACACAGAAACACACAAAAATGTGCTCTAATGGGTGGCTTCCAAGCCAATCAAATTGACAATTAAGCTTAAATTGTACAATTGGGAAGCTGCTTTCTATAACTGTCTAATGCTCAAACAGTTTTGTACCAACATTTTATGTTTTGTTACCAACATTTTATTGTTTTATGTGCTCTCAACCTACATCTTTTGTATACATTGATATGGTATATCACCATCCACAAAACGATAGTTTTATAATTTATTGTGCCTTTGTGGAAGACTCAGAAATACTGCTCAGTTCTAT